TCACCAGGGCTGAGCAGAGGGGCAGGATCACCTCCCTTGACCTGCTGGAGATGCTCTTCTTAATGCAGCCCAGGATCCCATTGGCCTTCTTGGCCACAAGGGCACCCTGCTGCCTCATGGTAACTGAGGCACGTAAAATGGTAAAGGCCATGGTAAAATGGGCTACTTATCCCCAAGCTTCTGTGAATAAACCCTTTTTGCCCTTGCATCCTGATGTTAATGGTGTGCAAGAGAGTTTTTCAGAAAGGTGAATCTTTTTTTTTCATCTTGATTTATGTTTGTCAGGAGAGATTGGGAATGTTTGCACCATCCTAGCCAGTGTAGGGAGGGAACACCAGGACTCCTCACTCAGGTCTCCACCATGTCCAGTGCTAGGACCAGCTGCTCCTCCAGTCCCACTAACTTAGTCTGGGATGATTGCAACAAAAGACTTTGTAGGTACATGGGGCAAAGGATGTCCTGTGAAATTAGATGGTTTTACTGTCTTTATTTTTGGCTTTTTTATATACCCTGCAGCTACCTTCTATGAATTATAGTAAAAACACTTCAGGGGCCATCTGGAGTTGGAGTTAAATTCACCACTGGATGTCATGTCTCCATATTAGCATGATCTTCCAGGGGTCAAAAATCATGAAAGCTGCTCTGGTTCAACTTGTAGAAGAGAAAGATGGATGCGGGGTTGCACTTATCAGTCAATTCGTGGTTGTTTTTTTCTTAAAATAAATAGTTTTTATGAAAACCCAGAATTATTTATTAGTGGTCTTATTAGTTGAGATGTGAGGTTATTTTCCTGACATATTTTAAATTTCTGAAGAAATTTATATAGTATAATCTGAAGAAGGCAGGGAATGGGGAACTTGTGTGTTGCCAAGATAAAGATGGGACGAGGCAGCTCTGTTCTGTGCTTTAAAAATAGAGAATTATTTGTTTGAGATTTCCTTACATAGGTTTCCATGCTCAGATCTTTAATGTCACTATTCATTCAGTGTTGAAAATTTCCACAACTGTTAGGGGAAGAGGTGAGAGAATCTCAGATTTTCCTCCTAATTCAAGGTCTGTTAAAGAGTTGACTGGAGAGACTTCAGATTGAAGTTAAATATTAAGTAATGAAGTATTTCATTATAATTACAGCAATACGATATTACTGTAATGACTAGAAAAATGATGATTGGAATAAAAACAGTTTTCTACTTTGGAGGAGTTGCTATTAAAGTGCTATACTAAGCCAGATTTCTGCAGAGATATTGTAATTTATAGTGTGCTGCTGTAATAAAGCACGGTATCTGAGCATTTTGATAAGTGCTCTACAGAATTCAATGCTTGATGTGTTTCATGGCTCATGAGTGCCAATTTTAGTGAGGCACCTAAGCACAGCTGGCTTTAGAAAGAGATTAGAAACCATTATCTTCTTACCTGCTACTTAAAAAATAGTGTTTTGAAATGTAAGAGTGTTTATAAAAAAGTAAAACTGAGAGATTTGCCTAATGAAATTCATGGGTCCCTCAGTAAAACGTAGGCTTTGTAAATGAATCAATAGCAACAAATACTGATTTTTTGAAAATTCTTATATGAAAAGTATTTGCAATATTTAACAATATTTATGTTTTATATGTTACAGCATTTATGTTTTACAAAATTACAATACTGCAATGATATTTACTGTTACCTACTGTAAGAGTTCTTGAGTGTGGAAGTTTTCCAATTTACCTATTTTGCAATTTGTCAAGATCTCTGACCATTCCTATGTATGATTTTTTTTTTTTTATGGTTTCGTTCCCTCTAAACATGAGCAATTATGAGGAAATGCTTTGTTCATTCTCTTGCAGGTGTGGACATTGTCAGCGGCTGCAACCAACTTGGAATGATTTAGGAGATAAATACAACAACGTGGAAAACCCACAGGTCTATGTTGTTAAAGTGGATTGTACTGTAGATATTCCGTTGTGCTCTGAATTTGGCGTCCGAGGATACCCAACGTAAGTATAAGAAGATTTTTGCTTCTCTTCCCCCGCCTTTTTTTTTTTTTTTTTGTAGTTCTCCATGGTCCTTTGACAGTTGAAGCTAACTTCAAGCTAATTTCTAGGCTATATTTTTTATGGTTTTCTTTGTTGCCCTTTGGACTTCAAATGCTCATTTATTTTAAGTCTTTTTATTGCCCTGCCAAGTACTACATGACATATATTTCTCTCTCTCTCTCTCTTTTTCCAAGAAGATGATTTATATCTTAGAAGATGGCTGTGTTTAAAAGAAGTGTGTTCAATTTTTTTTTCTTTCTCTCCCTTCCCAAGGGAGCTGTTCTCTCAAGCAGTGGTACGTTATACAACACTAGCCTCTGTTAATCATGTTTTTAAAAATTTGTTGCATTTTCAAGTACACATTACTGTTCACACTGTATGTGTAGGTGATCACTTTTGAGTGAAGCTGGGGCTCCTTAAATGATAATAATATATCTGGAATAATGGTGGTGCTGTGCTGACTTTTCTGCATAGGTTTACTTGTACTGGTCTAGCAGAAATTAATTTGAAGTTTCAATTTGTTAAATCTATCCTGTTATAAAGGATATATGTCTTACTATGTCAGCTCTAGGAGAAAGAACATTATCTGGAGTATCCATAGAACATAATTTAACAATCATACTGGATAGTGCTTTTGGGGTGGATGCATCCACACCTTTTCTAGCTGATAAAGGGAGCAAAAAGATTTTTTCCACTTTTTGTCTTTAAAGTTTCTTTCAAAAAAACAAATGGGATTGTTTCGACTGCTTTGCTAGTAACTTGTCTCTTTGGGGATAAGGTGAAAATATTGTCTTCTGTAGCCCTTCCACAGCTTGTATTTTTTTGTTTTCTTCCCCATGTTGACCTTACCCCGTGTTACTGCTGTCTCCAGCAAAGGCCTGAGTTTGACACGTGTTCCTGTCTGTATTGTCTTTGAGACAGAGGAGTACAACTGGTTAGAAATTGAAAATTATAAATGGCCAAGCTCTCACTGGGGTAGGAATTGTCCATAAGGAGAATTTGTGGTTTAGTTCCAGTGCCAATGCTGAGAAATTGTGAATTTTAAATCTTTCTTTAAATTTCCCCAAAATCGAACATTGGTCATCTTTGTGTATTTGAACAGTTTATATTCGATTTCTTTGGAAAATAGAGTGGCTCAGATTTTGAGTAAGAAAAGAAGAATGGGTCTGTTTCTCCTCCTTTCTAGGGTCTTTGAACATCTAAGGATAACTAATGTCTCTTTTCATATACTTGAAAAGTACAAATAATAAGGCAGTCATCTACTGTTTATAGAAGTAAGATGAAGGAGAAATCATGCTTTCAGTTTTCTTACTTTCTGGATCAGGATAAGTTTAACTAGCCTGTCTAACTTGTTCTTCACCAGTTGGGGAGATTTCACAATTTTCTGAGTCACAGAAGGGCTGTTGCAAGCCTAGGGTGTGTTGTTTGGAAAAGCAGTGTAAGGAGCACTTGTCAAGAGAGAGGCCCCGTCCCTCTTCCATTTTCTTGGGAATGCGAACTATGGGGGGTGCTGCTGGCTGGTCCGTGCTTTTGTTAGTACAGTAGCAACAGGGTTATTTGGTGCTATTAAATACTCCTCAACTGAATTAGAGAAAATGTACCCTAATTTGGATGAAATAAAGGTAAAACTGGCTCCTTAAGCTAATACACTGATTTTTTTTTTCTTGTTAGTTTTCAAAAGCATTGCCAGGGGGTGCGTTTTAGATGATTTTCTGTTTTATTTTTGTTGTTTCCTTCTTAATATAAAGTTGCGCTTTTTCCTCAAAAAAATTGACCTATCATCACAAGGAATGCTGAAGAATAAATTGAATAGAAACAGCAGTAGAAACTTAGTTGTTTTTTTGAACACATTTGCATTATATGGTTTTGCAACACTTTCATATGTTCATTTTTTTTCAACTTGTGGAATACGAAGAGAGAAAAACATTTAAAGAGGGGAAAAAATGTTGCAGCAAAACCATATCCTTGCAAGGGCAAAGAAGGGCTATGTATGGACAGTAATTGAAACTAATTTTAATTTGCTTTAAAAAAAACAAGGCCAGATGAGAAGTAAATATTGTCACTCTGTCAAATATGCTTCCAGTTCGAACTCGATGAATGTTTAATAATAAGTTTTAAGTACTCTTTTATAAAGTTCTGATAGCAATTATTAAATGTTATAATCATGAAATGCTAAGATCTCTACAAGCAATCACTCTAGATCTTTGCCCTAGTCACCTGTTTCAGAGTGTTTTTTAATGAGCTTAAGTAAGAAAAAGTATATATTTCAAGAGTATTCTTGGAATGAAACATGAAAAGAAGTCCTGAAAAACATGTTTTGGATTTGTTCCTTTGAGGGTGGACAGGGGAGAACAAACCAAAATTGATGTATTTTTTGGCAACCTGAAACAGGATTCATACGCATAAAGAATAATTAACCTCAGAACTAGAATTGGCATTGTTTCATTTGTGCATGCCTACTGATCAAAATAAAGCATTTTGATTTTTTTAAACAAGGTATTTCTCTCTTACTTTTAGAATCCCCTTTAAAAGCTTATATGAGATTGAAGGTATACCCTAAGGTATAGCTATGACCCTTAAAGTTGAGAAAAAACGTGATGCTAATGTTAACAATCTGGAGAGGTCTTACTGTAGTTTAGCCTGAATTGTTGTGAATTAGTAAAGCATTTTTAACTTATTAAGAATATTTCATGTCTGGGAATTTTTACCTCACTCTCTTCTACATTTTAATCTTCTAGCCTAAAACTACTTAAACCAGGACAAGAACCTCTGAAGTACCAAGGTCCTAGAGACTTCCAGGCATTGGAAAACTGGATGTTGGAGAAACTCAATGAGGAACCAGCTGTAAGTTAAAAGGAAACAGGAAAAGGAAATACTTCCTTCTGCAGACTTGCAGCCCTCTCATTTATGTAGGTTAGGTTTCGCTTTCCAGGAGGAAGTCTGCTCCTGAGAATAAAGTTCAGATGGACAGTAACAATATGGAACAGTTTCCAAATAAATCAGAATAGTAATTATAACTGGCATCCTATGACGTGCTCTTTGTTTCCTGTAGTTAAAACTATGGTTCATGATGCTGTTTTTAATCAAGTATTAGCATTTTCATCTTTTAAGATTTTTGTGTGTGTGTCCATTCGGTTGACACCTGGAGGCTATAATATTTTTGGAGTAAGAGAATTGACATAGTTGTAGAATGGTATAAATCATATTTATACCTATAAATAGTATTTATACCAAGCCTTGCCTACAATTAAATTCAAAATTGCTTTTTCTAATCAAGTCAAACCTAAGGTGATGGTTGATGGCAGTTAGAACGTGATTGTATTTAAACGAACTCCATGATAACGGTATTTTTAATAGTTAAACTTTAAAGCTGAAGTATTTTAAGATATGTGCTTTGTATTTTTCTAAAGTTATTTCCAACTCTGACTTAATATTTACTAAATAGCCATGCCTTTAGCTAAAGCACAAAGTTTGCTGCAACTTACCTATCAAGTGTTTGCTCCTTTTCCTCCATTGCTTATCTCATAGGTCCGTTAGACCTCTCCTCCCTGCAGCAGGGCTGCTGGACACAGCTTTCTCACCATCTATTCTTAAATAGCCAAAAGACCACCAAAACGGATGTGATGGCAGATGGATGCGGCCAATCCTTGAAGCTGGGAAGGAAAGCTGTTCTGCACTCTAGGTGTATGAATGCAGCATTATGAATGTTAGAGCAGTTGCTGTGCATTGTGCCTGTACAGCAGCATAGCAACAGGCTGTTAGTTCATTGATTGTGATAGTAGTTTTCCTTATCACGCTTTGTGTTCAGGTAATTGTTAGGAAACATTTGATAATTTAAGGCAAAATTGCAGAGTACGGGATTAACAACACTGCCACAGAATGTAGGAATCCAATATGTGTGTTCACTGTATGAGGAAAAAATATATGTATTTTTCCCACCAATAGGATCTAGAATCTGATGTGGAACCACCAAAAGCACCTGAACCTAAGCAGGGACTGTATGAACTCTCGGCAGACAATTTCAAGACACATATAGCAGAAGGTAACTGCTTTTTTCATATGCAGGACAAACCTGCTTACAGAGAATTTAGTAGTGAGAAATTTGCAACAGAAATTTTACTTTTAAAGGTACCTCCTACTTTCTTTCCCAATAATGCATCTTGAAAGAAGATGAAATGATACATTATAGAAAATGCACTAGTTTCGTTACATATTCCATACCATGAGAAAGTTTAAGAACAGTAGTCCAGTAAGGAAACAGTAGTAGTAGGGCCCCTAATCCCACGTTGCAGAAGTGAGCTTGCTTAAATAACCTGTCTTCTCTGTTCTGTGAGCTCCTCACTCAGTTGCATTCTCGCCACTCACTGAATGTTCTTGCAAGTTCCATTTCCTGTCTTTTGGAGGTATTGAGTTGTTCATAAGTCCAAGCTGCTTTTCTAGCCAAATATATCACCCCCTGCATTTCCTACTCCAAATCCTTATTTGATATTGTTTAGCCTCCTTCCTGCAGAATTTAATGTGAGCAAAACAGATAGCTTCAGTTTAGCTACTTCTGCCATTTCTGAAAATATTTTTTCACACAGGGGTTCATTTAAAAAAAAAAATGGGCAGTATCTGACAAACGTTTGGGCTACCATAATAACAAGTGTTCGTACTGTCTCCATCCTTTTTTGTTAAAAGCAAAAGCCAGACTGAATTAATATCTGTGCCTGTGTGATAAGTAAGATGGATACTCGAACTTCTTAAGGTAACCATCAATTAATTAGGAATATATTCAAGTGCATTTTGTGCCAGTAGCTTAAAATTTACCTGTATATGGGGCTTAACACTGAATTACATCAAATTTATTCATTAATTCTTCTCTGAACCTTTAGGGACACACTGAGCATTAAAAAACAGATTAGGCAAGTTAGGGTTCTCTACTATTGCAGTTAGCATGTCCTAGTTATTTTGTGACATCCTTCCTCAGAATTTCTTCTGTGAACAAGCCTTCAAGCTAGAATGGAATTCTTGTATTATCTGTCCCAGAGCAGTCTTCAGAGGATTGCAGTTAATGCTTTTAAAAAGAGCTTTCCCCCAGTTGCTGGTGTTTCCTTCAAATGCATTTTTTTGGATTGTTTTAATTATGTTCACTTTTAAATTAATAGATCTTTGCCTTGATTTGTACAAAAGCATGCAGCATCTTGAATTAATATTAATCTTAATTGAAGGAGGTTACATATTCTGGCATTCTTCAAATGAGTTTATACTTTTAAACTAAGCATTAGTATGAGATAGTAAATTTTTGTGGTCTTCTATAGAGAGAAGAATCTGCACTAGCAACAGTCATTTCAGAATAGTTAACATGAACATACAAAGAGCAGGACAGAAGAGGAAGTTGTAAGCTATACAAAATTATTTGCACAGCTCAGAGACTTGATGCAATGATGTTTGCTTAGAAATGTTTGAAGTTGAAGTCTAATATTTACATTGATTAATGCTGTTATAAATACACAGTCCTCTGTGGTTCTTTCTGTTGTGTAATTGTGCAAGTGAGTGACTTGGTAGAACTACAAATTCTAGCAACTGGTTAGGCTAAATGTGTGATAGATTTAGTATCTTATTTGTTGGCTTGAGGTTGTGAAGCCATTCAGAATTTCAGGGAACCTGGGAACACTATGGTACTGCATAAAACATTGGAAACCTAATTGCTGAGATAGTCTCTCCTGCCTTTATTTCACCTTATTTTCTATCTGTAATATTTTGGAAATAAATCGCAGTCTGCATTTACTATCTTTTTTTTTTTTTTTTTTTTTTTAATTGTAGCCAAATTGATTCCAAATAAGTTGGATCTAATTTTTTTTTTCCCTGACTTCCAAGGTAATCACTTTATCAAATTCTTTGCCCCTTGGTGTGGTCATTGTAAGGCTTTGGCTCCAACATGGGAACAGCTGGCTCTAGCATTTGAACATTCAGAAGCTGTCAAGATTGGCAAGGTTGGTGATGTGCTTTTTTTCTTAATCTGTTTTGTGTGAATTAATATTTCAGCCAAGTATCATGCTGTTCATTCTGTGCTCTGCGAATAACAGTTCTGTTTTGGTTGTCACTTTGTAAGCCTTTTACCTTTTAATTCCTATTTTAATTTTGAGATGGCTTTTTTTTTTCTTGCATAGTCAATAGACTTAGTTTCCTTCATTTTGAAGAGATGGATAATTTGTTACAATGGACAAAACTTCCCCTCTTTAAGCAAGGACTTGATAGAAATGTTAAACACAGCTCCATGCGTTTCAGAGATGTAAAGGAGTAAGTCAGGTACTTTGGATGATGCGAGTAGTATGTCGAGATTCCCTTTTTATTATGCTTCCCCTCTGTCAAAACTTGATGGACTTGAGTATTTAGTTTGAGTCGGTAAGTGGCTTATGCTCTTTACAGCACTAGATTTCTTTTTAGATCTACATGGCCTAATGAGTTATTTTTCTCTCTCTTTTTTTTTTCCCTTCTCTTCAGCCCCCCCTGTAGCTTTGTAAAGGTTTCAGGTGGTCTTCCACCTTAAAAACTGATATCTTGTCCTCCTTTACTATTTCCCTCAGGGATGATAACCAGATTCTGTGGTGTATTTACCATGGGAGCTTGTTACTTGTACGTGGAGTGACTCCTATGCAGAGGTATGGAGGTGGTCCTGCAATTGCAGTTACTCACTTTATTTGCTGACCCATACCTAAGTCCAGGTGGCTAATGATGTGAATCCCTCTGAATTTGCCAACAGTGGAAAACGTACTGGGCCCAACTTCCACATCCTTGAGCCTTGGATTTGCTCTGCTAATCTGGAAGACAGCGTAGCAGTTAGCAGTGCTAACAGTACCTCAGAGGGAGAAAAAAAGCTGCAGTCTGCCCTGTCTCTGTCCTCATAGCCCTTACAACTCTTACTGGGGGTGATGAGCTAGGTTTTCTACTTTTCTTCTTTAAAATGCTTTTTGAAAGTCCTTTAACTCAGATATGCTGTAGAGGGATGGAGCAGGTCTGAGTAGTTTAACACTGGAGAGGAGCATACATCATTTCGAAACCTGGTTGGATATAAAATTAGACTTTTTTTCTGAGAAAGCAAATGAGAGTATATTGCTTCTTTGATACATTTTATAGCAAATATTGCATGTACTGATTTACTTTCTGAGAATCTGGAATGCTCGCTGTATGATAAAGTCATTGCTTAGCTTACATGTATTCTTCGAAGCTACTGTTCTCTGTTATCCAGAGAACTAAAACCAAAAAACTTCCAAATTTGTGTTTTATTCAGTTGCCTGTCGTGTTCAAGCATTGCCCAGTTACTGTTGCTGCTGTTTGCTCTTTAATAAATCCACTAAGGTTTGTCCCACCTGTCTAGTCAATTTTGTCAACTGTGTGTATAATGAAAATATTTGAAATGTGTCTTCAAAAAGATTGCAAGCCTGTAAGTAAACAGGAAACTACTGTTTCTAAGAAGGTTGAATGATGACCTTCATGTAATCTGGGGGAACAGTCTCTTAGTAGCAGTGCTATCTACTGGCAGGATTCTGTGTAATCTTTGGAATTGATCTACAGTGACCTCGAGGAAAATGTTGCTTATGTGAAATTCAAAATCCAAATGCGATGTCAAGCAAAGGCTCCCTTGCTTCAATTACATTTTTTTCTTTACTTTAAAAAAGATTATAAACTGTGACTTTGTAGATTTATATATGGAAAATTAGAACAGAACATTGCTATGCGCTGGAATTTTCCTTGGAGTAAAGTTAACTTTTGAGCTGTTGACATGTCTTCTGATTTTAAAGTGGTCTTGTTTAATGAAAACAGGGGAGGGGAGGGCAATAAGTCTTTGCTTTGAAGCTTGTTCCTATAACCATTTTGTGCATTATGGTCCATGTAGTGATTTTATTCACCAAGAATACCAGCACTTATTTTAACTGGAATATCTAATTATGTCTTCATTGCTTTTTGCTACTCCTTCTACTTCCTTCTGTCCATTTCGTGTTCTCTTCCTCTCTGTATGCTCTGTAAAACCAAATGCGTACAGCTTCCCAATGGGACAACCAAGCCACTTTCTGGGAGCCAGACATAATAGTTCTCCAGACAGAACTTGATGCTGCCTCTTGTGAAGGCATACATGACCTGCTTCAGTATTTTTCTGAGACTTTAAACTTAAGGGGGAGGGTATGATATTTGTTGTCTCTTTATGCACTAAGTGATTTATAATTCTTTTCCAAATGTAGGTCGATTGTACCCAGCATTATGAAGTCTGCTCTGAAAACCAAGTTCGTGGCTATCCCACTCTCCTCTGGTTTAGGGATGGTGAAAAGGTGAGTCTGCAAGCTCCCCAGGAGGTCAGACCATTAAGATAGTACTTGTAGTGATAGTATTTCACCTTTTTAAGATACTTTAAATCTGTTAAAGTGAATGTCTTTTAAAAATAGTCCTGCAAGCAGAGAAGCCTGAACTCTTCCTTTAGCTCTTACAAACTAAGATCCAGGGGTTTTTGTTTTCTTGCCACATTCATCTTGCATTTGTTTTTGCTTAGCTACAGTACAAGAGTTCTTAAGGTTTGCCACTCAGCCAGGTTAGTGGCTCTTCCTTGGGGCAGTTTTCTAGGCACTCTGTAGGGCACTGCAGCTTGTTTTGTCTCTTCTGAGGCGGATGTTCCAACTGCTTGGAGATCAGGTAAAATGTTTGCTGCTTTTTCTCTGAGATCTGCTTGTATAGAGAAAGTGACTATAAGGACATGCAAGCACGTGTGACATTTGGTATGAGCACATGTATAAGATGAGGCAACCCAGGGAAGATACATCTAGTTCTTTGTATCCCAACCTGATTCATAAGGATGATAACGGACTCATTACTGTTTAACCAGCTGGGCCTGGTGCATGTCAGGAGCAGAACTTGAAACTCCGAGAGAGTGCTCAGGTCAGGCAGGGTGGCATGTCCAGAGTTGGAGGTATTTTTATTTAAACTTCCATTTGTATGTGGGTTTGGTTTGAAAAACGCAAATAGTCTGATACTTCACAATGGCTTTTTCAGCTGCTCTGTTCAGATGTTGTACCAATAATGATTTTTCGGATAGCCACAGGTGGGAACATATCTTGCCAGAACCATAGTACCGATGCAGAAAAATAATAGCTGTGTATTTCTGTGATAACCCAGATCAATATTTTTGGACCCTTGGCCAGTTATTGAAGTTTAAGTTGCTCTGAGTTATTTGAGTCAAGAATGCAGTGAAAGAAAAAAGTCTATCATCACTACTGTGTTTCATAAAGATGAATCTCTGCCATTAGTCTGAGCAGTATATTTCAGTTGACATCAGACTGGCTTTTCTTTGTTGGCAGTGTGGTATTCCTTGGTGACATACTGCCATCAGAATCATGTGTTCTTTCATGGACTGGTACTATATATTTAAAAGAAAATAAAACCACAAAAAAGATGACTTTCCAGTAATCTGACCCAGAAATTCCTGGAAGTCTCTCTAGCTACTATTGTGCTGTTCAATAAGAAGCGGGAGGAGGAGGACCGCCTCAGCCATCAGGCATTGTTGTCTGTAATTCCATCGCTCCGTTGTCATAATTGGAATCTGGCATCACACCATCTGTCTTGGTTAGGAGTAGCAGAAACTCATGGAGGAAAGGAAGGGCCTTGAGCCTGCTTTGCTGAAATGGATATGAACAAGCAGGTACAGGCATCTTACATGATTTTAAGTTAACACATCACCCAGCCTGAGGGAGATGCCCATATTCTTAGGTAACATAAGAATAACGAAATAAGTAAAATTGTAGAAAGTTTCGAAGATACAAAATAGTTGAATAATTGAAGAGGTGTATCTGTTCTTCCTTCTGATGTATGGAAATTTCTGTGCTGTTTCTTGAATAGTTATTCCTCATCTGAGAGATTTCAAGCTGTATCTTGTATCTCATACTTCATGGAACAGAAATTCAAGTGGTATCCAGAGTGGGTGTTTAGTGTCTTCAAAGAGATCTTCACTCTTTTGATCAGAGAAATTGATCGTTCTTACTGAGATAGCTGAGGGTAATCATGCAAGAGTCAGTGTGGAGATGGAAGACAATAGATTTGAGACTCTCAACTGTTCAAAGGAATTCTGAGACAAATTTGCATTTGAGGCAAATTGTGGCTTTTAAAAGATTTGCTTGGGATTATGTGCAGGTTTAGAAGTGTGACTTTCACCACAGAGAGATCCTGTTGGAGTTGTCTGCCCCACAGCAAATGCTTGTTCTCTTTCGCTCCCACGTGAACTTGGACAGCTAAAGAGCATTGCTTTGCTGTATGGATATGGGTTTTCCAAGGATATCACAGAATCACGGAATGGTTGAGGTTGGAAGGATCCTCTAGAGATAATCTAGTCCAACCCCCCTGCACACGCAGGGTCACCTAGAGCACGTGGCACAGGACTGCATCCAGGCAGGCTTGGAAGATCTCCAGAGAAGGAGACTCCACAACCTCTCTGGGCAGCCTGTGCCAGGGCTCTGTCACCCTCAGAGGAAAGAAGTTCTTCCTCACATGGAGATAGTTTCCTGTGGTGTTTCAATTTGTACCCATTACCCCTTGTCCTGTCACTGGCCACCACAGAGAAGAGTTTGGCCCCATCCAGAGAAATAATTGTGTGGTCTGGTGACATGCACCTCAACCTTTCTGCCTTGCCAGGACCCTGAACAGAGCTCTTGTGATAAGAGGAGACCACTGAATAGCCGTGGGTACTCTGTTACTCCTTGCTGTATTTTTAGGTTCACCAAAACAGAACCTTGAAAATTCAGGCTGAAGTGAGAGGTGAAGACCAAAATGAAAATGTTTTGCTTCTAGATATTCATTTCTGAAGTACCTTTCATTTAAAGGAAACTTTAGATTGTTTCTTTTCGGTACAGAAGAATTTTTGGCAAATCCTGAAGAGCTGGCATTAATGGAGTGCCATGGGGAGGCTTGAAGACTAGTTAATCATCTTTATTATGAATATGTGTACATTCATCAATCTTACGATTTTCTGATAATTACTTGCTAAATTAACTGTTTATGCACACTTGCACAAACTACTTGATAATTGCAGGGTGACCAGTACAAAGGAAAGAGAGACTTCGATTCCTTAAAGGAATATGTGGATTCCCAACTACAGAGCTCCCAGAAAGAGCCGGCAGCAGATAAACCATCCGTGGCTCCCGTAGAACAGCCACCTGCAGAACCTGCCCAGGCCGAGGTGGGTGCTCCTGTGCTCCGCGGCTGTATCAGAAGTGTCCAGACTGTTTCAGCAGCCTGTCCCCATCTTCCGTGTGTTGTTTACATCTTGATAGCTCAATGGTTTCTAAATGTAAACTACCAAATATTTTCCTGGTTACTTTTAGCAGTTAATGAGTGGAATCAGATAATAAATCTTAGTGATATATATATTTTTTTACTGACCTGAAGAACTGGAAATGGTAAAAGAAAAAGTCTGCCTCTTGTTTAATGATTTTAATTGATTGTTTAGATAGAGTGGCCTAAGTGTGGCCCTTTCGGGTCCTTCATCCATGCAGCAGCCTAGTTTGTTGCTGTGGAGATGAACGTTCCTTGCAAGATTCTGACTTAGGCCAGGGAGGATGGCACATCCCCGACTGCGCAGCAGAAAGGAAGATCCCGAACTTCCAGGCTTATCTCCAGACATGACAAACAACCAGAGATTTTGTGGATGGTTTTAAGTGTATCAGGGTAAGGTGCCTTGTGGCAGTAAGGCCGGGTCTTGTCCATAGGGGCAATTCCGTAGGAGCTGAATATTGCTGAGGAATTGCTTTTAAACATAAAGTCTTATTAATTCAGGCATTTCCTCTGCCCAGAAAATAATGGACAGTGTTTTGCACTCCCTCATAATGTAGAATGACCTTATATTAGCATGAATACAATTTTTGTGCAGCTTCTCATAGGAGAATATTACCTCTCCCTTTTGACTTGTCCAGTTGGGTTACTCAACATAATTTTTGTAAGTCACTTTAGGTAGGTTTCCAGTTTTCATGCCTCTCAAAAACTATATAATCTTTTAAATCTCATATTTGGAAGATACACTTGTGTTAGTACAATGCAGAGAGAAGTTATTCTTCTTTCTATTTTTAGAGATATAACATAAACCAAATGTGCTGTCAATTCCCACTTGCCTTGATTGCACCAGCACACATACAAACAGGAAAGGATTGCAGGGGAATTTTCGTCAAATTATATTAGATACAGTGAAGGAGTAAATGTTGGTCTTCACAACTTTACCTCCCAGCTTTGGATGCCACCGTGTTTTGCTTCCTTATCTTCAGACACCTTTGTTTTGGCTTTGTTCTTCGTTTTTGTGATTTTTTTTATTTTTTTAAACAAAGGGCTAGCCCACGTAGCCAGTGAACACTGACTATATTTACCATCAGCAACTCACAGACAGCTTCATGGGCAGCAAAAGCAGTGAGTTCTCACTTGAAATGTGTGTTTTGGTGATTCCCCCATCTCTGTGGATTCCTCATGTCTCATAAAGGCCAAGTACTACATGGCTTTCCCCCCCACCCCAAAAAAAAGTTCTGGGAACTTTTGTGCCTGAGACTTCTACTGTTCTGCCAAACATGACTAAAGTTAATCAAAAATGATGCAGGTTAAGTGACTGCATAAGCTGTCTCTTCTTAGAAAATAGGCACAAATCTGATAGTTCATAGTTATCTGATATTAAAGCATAGGTAGTTATATAATGTTATTCTGATAGTATTCTTCAGATTTTTTTTTTTATATGGTTCGTAGGGAGGACCCTGTTTTTGGAGGTTTCAGACTTAATATCTTAGACTGTAAATGATGGTTGGGAAACCTGTTTTAATCCATCTATTTAGGAATTCCATAGCAAAAGAATATGTATTTACTAATCACTTTCGCTTTACTTATTTTTTAAATTCTTAACAATCTGAAAGTAATTTTTGACTTTGAAAAAAATTTTAGAGAGGATAATACTTCATCTTAATAGAAAAGTTTAATCTTATTAGCTCACAGTCATTAACTGCAAACCTTTAAACCAGTACCTTTAATCTGTAATTCTGAATCCTCTTCTGGCTTCCTTTCCTAACACTCTCACTGCAGTAAAAGTTGGTAATGTTATCAGTTGCTCTCTGTTTTTTCCCCCCCTTCTATTTGAATCTGTTTAAAAAGGAGGTTTTTTTTAGGTTTTTTTAATTATTATTTTATTTTTATTTTTATTTGAATCTCTCCCATCCTTACCAGTCTTGCACAGAAATAGTATCTGCTACGTGTTGTGCTCTTTTACAGTGTAGACTAAGCAACTTGCTGTCCCCTCTTCACTGTCATACCATTGCTCCTGACATTAAAATGAGTAAAAATTGTTCAGGATGTCCGTGTGAGTGTGATGTGATGACTTTTTTTTGACAGGCCATCTTTCTGAGGGAAGAACGCAGATGAAGGGTAGAAGTGAGGTGTTCTGCTGCAACTCTTGTATCCCCAATATTTTCTTTTTTTTCTTTGAACAGGCTACAGTGCTCTCCCTCTCTGAAAAAAACTTTGATGAGACCATTGCTAAAGGGGTCACTTTTATTAAATTCTATGCTCCATGGTAAGAAGTTTGTTTCCATTGATCACAATTATTGCTATTCTAAGTTGTTTGTGCATTTTGAGTTCTATGTAGTGCTGTATTTGTTGCCTGGAACTAAAGTGTGAGTTAAAGGGAGGATTACAGCAGAAAGGCTCAATCTGTTTGAGCTTCCTTGGGATTCCTTTCTGTGGTAAAGCTGTCTGTCAGAAAAGCTTTATTGCCTCAAGCTCCAGGTAACGTAAGGAAACAAGGAGAGTGAAACTTCTTTTGCAGGCTTAGCATGCTCTTAACACCTCCAGTAAGGAAAGCTGAGGGGAGCCTGTCAGGCAGCTCTAGGTGAGCACGGAGAACGTGCCAGCCTTTGGGTCCCCCCTCTGAGGAAGCCTCGTTTGATCACCTGGGAATTGTTACCAGCCGTGTAGCTAAAAGGATGGTGTGCTGTTACTCTTCAGATAACTGGCAAAAGCTAATACGCACAAGTCACTCCTACCAGATGTTCTTAAGATAATGTTCCATGTAATGTGTTTTTCTAACAACCTACGGTAGAAATGATTGAGGTGGCTTTGACATAGATATCCAAAGGGAAGTGCTGGGGAAGAGAAGTCATGTCCTACATGGTATCTGCCATTACCTGCATATCCAGCAGAGCTCGGGGTCCAGTAGGACCTCAGTGTTACAAACTCACTGAACATGCATTTCCCCCATTTTCTTGGTATTCCTTTTCCAGTACAAGGAGGGGGCAGAGTTTCTCAGGTTTTTAGACTTCATAGTGTGTGTGAAAGGCAGCGTGTATCTGGTGTCACCATCTGCTAGCCATCCCATTAATGAAAAATTTTGACAGTACAGAAAGACGTTTCGTCTGTGGTGGTAAAGGGTCACCATTACAAAGTGAGGCAGACAAATGCAGTCTGTATATAAGTGTGCCTAGGAGTATAAAAATACTGCTGCTTAATTTTGACAGGACGCATGCATATACTTCTGATTCACATAGTCTAAGTAACGGCAGTTTTCTCCACTGTTGACACTGGAGAAATTGGGGTGGGAATGAACTACACAGCAGTAGTAAAGGGCTACCACTGTGTAGTTCATCTCCACCCCAATTTTATGTTTATTTTTTTTTCCTTTGCTCCCTTTATCCTTTCTGTGCATTATCAAAGTTGATACAAATTGTGTGTCTGTTCTGTTGCTGTGTTCCCAGTAGAATTGCTTGCTTAATTGAGTTTACACCTGTACAAAAAAGGAAGATTCTAGTTTGATTTCTGAATCCAGGTCTTGTCTGCAGATGTAGGAGTTTATTACAGTTAAGAACAAGTTCTTAACCAGTATATTCTTTCTGGCTGTAAAAATCAGAAGGCTATCATTTAGGAAAATACTTGATATATTTGCGTACCTGGTATCGTGGTTTTATTCCTGGAAATCATGATATGTTTATAGCTACAGTGTATTGCATATAAATGAGCTTTTTCTCTTCCAAGTGGCTCATGTTGGGATCAGCAAGCACTATTGTGTTGCTTGCTACTTCTGTCCTCCAGGTTTCTTGGATAAATATTAATGTTAACTTGCATAGTAAGCATAAAGTCATGCTGCTCTAGTAGTTTTTTTGTGTGTGATCAAAAATTCTTTTACACTATCACTGTATATTAACAAGGTGACTTAAATATAGACTCAACTGTATTAAGAAAATGAAAACAAAACAGACAAAAAAGAGGCATCTTTCATTCTTTTTGTGAATGCCTTGGTTCAGGCTTCAGGCATTTTTGGGGCTGTTCTAATAACCCAGGTAGGGTGCAACAGCTGTGTTTAGAATAAAATGAGCAATGTAGGTTTAAAGGCTAAAGTGCTATGGGAATTTTTCTCAAAGGCTGACAAACTTGGTTAAGCCAAGTTCAAAATAAATACAAACAAAGTTAGTATTTTCCTGTGATTTCTGCCTCTATACCATCTTCTCTCTTAATGTTAGTGTTTCTGTGTATGTACTCTGTATACTGCGTTCTTACGTTACTGCAGGCACATCTGGCATTAAAGTGAAAATGGGGTTTTTGATGTTATGGATGATATAACAGGAATTATTCTATATATGAGGCAAATTAGAATAGGACCTGATTGTTTTTCCATTGTATTAGTGAGTAATGAAGAATATTCATACGCAGATATCACTGAAAGTACAGTGGTGATGGTTAAACTTAAAAGAAAATGGAGGGTTTTTTTCCCAGAAAATTTAAACTTTTAGTGAAAAAGTGTATTAAAATATTGGAATGTTTCTTCAAAACAGAATTTGTGTTGAGAAAAAGCCTCTATTAAAATTGAGTTTCCAGTATCAGTAGATGCTGTGTTGCTAAAGGAAGCAATTAGGAACTAGAAGCAATTCAGCAAGGAAACTAAAATCTTATTTAAATAATCGTGTGTCACCACATGTTTACGCTTTTTAGCTTTAACTTGACTAACATCTACTACCTGAAAAACTAATATTATTTCACTGCTGGGAAAACTTAATATGTATTACATTCAGTAGCTTATTAAGGCATGTTCATTTCCAAGTGATCTTATTTTTCATTAAATAGTCTCTGTGTTCTTCTTTGTTTTTATATTCTTCTTTAGGGTGAAATGCTAATGCACTGACATTAGAATACCATTCCAGAAACGTTTAATGAAAGCCATAGATGATGTTAAGCATTGAACTTGTTTAAAATCACTCGTTTTCTTAGTTCACTTACTGGCATACATACTAGCATGAGGGAGTTGGAGGCCCAACTCAACAGGAGTTAGGAAAGATGGCTAGTTAGGATCACAGATGCCACAGTAAGACAGTAGAGATTAAACTAGGAGGTGTATCTGCTAAACAAGTCTCTCTCCTTGTTCCTAGGTGTGGCCACTGTAAGAACTTGGCTCCAACTTGGGAGAACCTTGCCAAAGAGCAATTTCCAGGTTTGACTGATGTCAAAATAGCGAAAGTAGACTGCACTGTGGAACGTAACGTCTGCAACAGATTTTCTGTAAGTGTGAAAGATCTGAAGTGAATTGGATGATACTGTACCAAATGCTGGAGGCTCCAGCATGCAGCCTAGCTGGCTGCCTGGTGACTGTGCAGCTGTGTTCTCCATTAGCAAGAAAATGGTAGTCCAGAACAGCAGCTGGTGACACAGGGATTTTTCTTTGTTTGTTGAGACTCATTGTTCTCCTTAGAGGATAAAATGGACAGAGTCTGCAGTTTAAGAACCCTCCTTTTTCAAAGGAAAAATAATGGGTTTTGGTACTGGCAGATGGGCAGTTCAAGACAATGAGCTGGTGTTTGTAGTTGCTAATAAAAGAGGAGATAGTGCTTTCCCATTTACTTACAAATTTTTAAAACTTACAGCTTACCGCTGAAAGTTGTTTTATTGTGCTTTTTGTGCTATGAATTAAAAGGGATTTTTAGAGCAATTGGGTAACTTCAGAATTGAGTAAATACAAATGACGGATAACAGTGAGTTTCTTTTCTTTTTTTTTTTCTTTCTTTCTTTTTTTTTGGATAACAGTGAGTTTCTTTTTTTTTCTTTTTCTTTTTTTTTTTTTCCTTTTGTCTCTGGAAGGTGCGTGGTTATCCTACACTTCTACTTTTCCGAGGTGGAAAGAAAGTCAGTGAACATAACGGGACCAGAGACCTGGAAGCGCTGCATAGCTTTGTCTTGCGTCAGGCTAGGGATGAATTGTAATAAAGGTCTGGACGCTCCACCCCTTGCTGTCTTTGTACAGGAGTGGAGGGATTTCAATCATTGCTAATTTTCAAATAGTGGATAGTGATATTGGGGCAATTTTTTGTTTGTTTTGGGGAAACTGAATGTATTAAACATTGGTATCTTCCCTCTGTGTGTGTGTTAAAGACATGTCCTACCCTGTTTGTGAAGGGAAACGAACAAGTACTTACTGTGTAAATTGAAATGTTTTCAGCATTAGGAGAGTTATTGCAGTTCTGCGTTCCTGCAATGAAGTGTAAATAGTTTCTTTTGAGACTAAAATACATTTGGGGACGCAGTAGAGTATTTTTGTCATCCAGTTTGAGTTGGTCAAAAAGCAATCCCTACAAACTGCCCACCATTCCTAGAAAGGTAAAAGCTGCAGCTGTGTTAAATAAATTTTGCCTCTACAAGTGTAGTTATAACTTAGTTGTCTTAATATAGCTGCTGGTTAAGAAATGGAAAGTCACAGGAGGTTGAAAACACACACACCTTTGGAAGATACCAGGCCACCATGAGCTGCTTGTTTCCTTTTAATCCCCTCAGCATGGGAGGTCTAGCCATAGGGAAAGTAACGGTACTGCACCCCATGCCTGCACGTTCCTGATGCCACAGAGCCAGGTGGATGGTTGTAGGCTGCTTCCGTCCAGCTCCAGAGGAGTAACTATGGGCTATTTATACAGAGCCGAAGTGAATAGGCACTATTATAACTACCCCCATAATATTAAATGATCAGATAGATGTTAGAGCTGATGACATGAGTTTCCTACTCTCACCTGAATCCAGACTTTGGGCAGACCTGCTCCTTACTCACAGTACTTAGAGAACAACAAGCAGTACAATGTTTAAATTTTCCATTCAGCTGTTTTATAGTAGTCAAAAATAGTTTCCCATTCCTTTTTAAAGCCTTAACCTTTTTCCAAGATATTACTATTGATATGTTTTGAAGGGTAGACCCATGCACTCTGTGTTGCCTTGGATTGTAATATGGATCTATTCTTTGGTGCATATGGTGTTCCAAGTTAGATATAACTGAAAGCCAAAGAATTTCCACTGCAGATACTGTTACAATGCAATGATAATACCAAGGACTGAATTCTGCCATCTCATGTGCACAGAAACTCATGGAATGACTATGGTTACAGGATAATTTGACAAATATGTCAAGATACTGATTTTTGTCCATCATATGGAGTAGTGATATTTTTTTAAAAGAAGGAAAAAAAGAAACTACAAACTTTTAAATCAGTAAATTACTCCTGGTACTGACTGTTTGTCAAGAGCCATTGGTTCTATTCAATCTAAAACTGTAAGAGTGAAAAATCCACAATGAAAGATAAGTGTTGTACTGGCAGATGTATTAGATCAATGTATATACTTCTGCCTTAAAGGAAGCCTTTATTATCAGTTTTTAACAACTTTTTAGTGAAGCACAATCTCATGAGTTTCTTGTATAAAATCAAAGTGGTACAATTGTTTACACTAAGATTTTTCTAAATAAAAACTTTTTAAAAAAGCAGTCTTTCTATAAATGATACAGCACAATGAATATACAGTGACAAGTGCAATAAATTATAGCTTATATTTACAAAAAGCCTTTTAAATGCAAGAATTTAGAGGTAAGTGCATTTAATACAAGTTTAATATGGATCAAAACAATCAGTTTGCTATTAGTTTCTGCTAGACAAATCTTAAGTCCGAAGTTGTGGCTACAATGTAAATGTATACTTTAAAACAGTTTATTAGGTGCCTGGTTGAAGGGGAAAATTTGGTCAAAAACTAGAATACTTCATTCATGTTTTGTCTTCCTGTAAATAAATTGTCCAGTTAAAGAATGGATGGCCCCTATTTTTTAAAAAAAAAAAAAAAAAGCCAACATCTGGCGGACTGACCAAAAGCTGTAGAAGGTCCTTCCTTCCTTCCTGGACAAACCTTGCCTGGAAGATGAGGCAGCTGCCAGGTGGGGAGTGGAAGGAAGATGCTTAAGACCAAGTGTATGAAATTACTGCCCGGTCAAATAGTGAAGCAAGAAGATCATCCTGTGCTTCTACCATTGGGTACAGCCACACCATCTTACACTTGCAGCATCAGACTTAACAGTGTGTGGAGAAGAAGGGGACTTGCTTTGGCACACCTGAAGATGCTTATTAATTATCAGCATGGTTGTCAGGAAACTACTAGGTGTAGTAACTGTTTCTTCTAGAAAAGGGGCAGTTCCTACCCCTAGCCAGAATTGCAGATTGTCTTGCATAAGAGGCATCTGTTCCAAGCCTGAAGTACTAATAACACTTGTTTCCTCTTCCTGCCTTCCCCATCTCCTCCATCCCCTCCCATCCCTGGAAAAAAAAAAAAAAACACACACACACAAAAACCACTCATTGGTTTTGGGGCTTGCATGCCCTTTTGGTAAAACTGAGGTACATATCCAAGCAACTGCTAAGGCCAAGCTGCAGCGTGAGGTTAAGGCCCCAGCTGGGTACGGTGTGTGTGGGCCGGCTGCTGCTTTGCAAGCACTGCAGAGCAGAAGGGCTACTGGGCCGGCAGTTTTTAAGAACTGCAGCAGTCTTCTGACACCACAAAGTATGGGCCCCAAACTCGTTCCTCTCACAAGGCACAAAAATGGTGTTTTGAAGAGTGTTTCATTGGGATTATTTTTCCAAGGTCAGGTAGTTCATGGAAGTATGCAAGGTAGGAGGGAAGTTCATGGTAGAAGCACAGAGTCCATGTGAAGACTGTCAGTGACATCCACAAGCTCTTACTACCATATTCCTGTATTTCTTCAAGATTACATTAGAATTATCATCAAAATAAAGAACGGATATGGCGTTCAGTTTGGTAGGTGCACAGCATGGCTTGGGAACGTAGTCAGGATTCATAAGATGAACCTGTTTCCAAAAAAGACAAGACAATTGATACAAGGATAACTTGCTTACAAATGCCCCTCTTTGCCACAGGTCTTTCTGAGGCTTACCAGAGTTTGTACAATGGCATGATTGGTTGCATTCATATGTGCATTGAGTGGAAAAGAGCACTCTCCATCACAGTAGTTGGCTGCATAGCCCTTTGGAGCGATTATCCAGTCCTTTTTAGGAAACAAACAGAACATGATATAAATTAAGAAATTGCCAGCTCAGACAACTGCATGCAATTAAGAACAGCTGAAATTTTTCCACTAACTTTTCTTAAGGGTGAAAATGTGTTTTCCCTGAAACCATCTTTTTGCGAGCTGTGACTTTTCAGTGGACACACTGATTTTTTTAAAAATGTCCAAAGAATGGCATGCTTCTATGCATCGTGTAACTGCTGAGAACGAAAACAGTTTATTTTTAAAGCTGTTGCACCGGTGCCCCGTGGGGATTGTGGTTTGGATGCCTTTATGCAGCAGTGTTTCCTGCAGGTTAGCCCCTCTGGCTGAACTACCTTTCCTAGGTTGAATCACAGCCTGAGCTGGTGCTCCCTGCGGGAACAAACATCACACAGGTACACACACCGCCAGAGCAGCAACGTGAAACACTGCTGTGGTGCCTCGCAGACCCTGTGCCTTAAGTACTCTTACAGGGGTGCTTGTTAGTCTGCTGTGGAGAGTGTGACATATTTAACTAACTACTTTATCTGCCGCATGCATACTCCCAACAGGGGAGTTGCTCTGCACATGCAGATGATGAACTAGGGTGGTAGGTTGCATGAAATGCCATGGAGGAACGTGAAGCTTTTTCTTTGACCCACCCCCTGCCATCTCCCTCTCCCTTATTCCCTTCCCCCTAAATAACACCAAAAAAAAATCACAGTTTTTCTGCTGCTGATACAAAAGAGCCAAAAGTAAACTGCAAATAACACTTGGCCCTTGCATTACTATTCCAGAAAGTTGGGTTTAAGTCACCAATTGATAGGAGAAGCTTCTCCTCCTTTGGTGTCAGTCTCAGTAGGTCACTGTAGTAGTAATATGCATGCACATGCATACATGCTCGGAGTATTTTCTCTTTACACAACACCAAATGCCTGGGCTAGCTTGCATTTGGCTGGTTTAAAATCTAGTAACAGAGCAGGAATAGTACCAAGCTAGAGAATATTGCTACACCTGTGCTAACCAAGCTTGCCATTTAATTGCAAGCAAATCTTCAACCCTTTCTTTCAGTGTGTCCCTGATTTTCCCCATATCCTTACACAATGTTAAGCTGAAAAAAAAAATTAAAAAAAAATAAAAAGGTTACTAAGGAAGCAGCAGAACCCAGCAATAGGAGGGACCTTCTGCTGGCCTCAGTCACGGCCACTTTTCCACTCCACAAGCAGTCACTGTACATGGCCTCAAAGTCCTGCAATAAGCCCTGCCACTCTGCTGCCAGCATTTGGCAGCATCTTGCTTTTTTTGTTTTTCCTCAAACTGGCCACTAGAAAGGCAAAGGCAGTGCCTTTGGGGCTATGGACACTGGCTTTTGTTTGGAATTAGGACTTCAAAACTGGGAATATAATTCCTAACTAACTGGAAGCAGGGCAAGTTAACTAATAGGAAGGTGGAGCAGAATGACTGTGCCTAAGCAAAAGGCAGCAGCACTAGCAAGTAATGAGGTCTGGAGTCAGTGCACAGCCATAATTGTGGCTGGAGGGAAGGCAGCAAGCCTGGAGCTGGCCATCAGCTACAAGAAATGCTCTTGTCCCATTAGCTGCAGAGAGGACCCACAGGTCCTGGGTATTGAAAAGCAGCGAGGGCAGCACTGAGTGAGGGCTTTGAAGTACAATCTACAAAAACAGCGTAACTGACAGAAATGGGACCTCCCTAACAAAAGTATTGAATGACAAAAATGAAAAAAAAAAAAAAAAGAGGGCGTTCTCTGGAATACTACATTTGACAAAGCTATGGCTTGGCCCTGAATAACTGCCATTAAAAATAAAAACACTTCCATAAAAAAAAAACAATCTTCAACCAACCTACCTCAGTGAGCACTAACGTCTTTGGCCTTATCTTACATTAGGTTTAAAATAGACTGATGGCTAAAAAAGATTGATTCGGTTAAAGCTAGTATTTCTAGGGTTCTTTCTTAATAAGGCACACAGATATGAGACCTTGCATGTGCTGTGACTCTGTGAGTGACAGAGTATGACTGCATACTTAAATCTCATAAAATACCAAGCTTCCTCTGGCTTTTATCAGATGTCACAACTATCAATATTTATTTGGCCTTCCCTGTGCCTGGTCTTAGTGGGGAGGCACAGGGGACATTTTAAAGCATAATGGCAGCCTCAAGTGGAATTACCATGACACTGTTTAGATAACATTTCATAACAAAACGTCTAGTTTACCCAGAGAGAAACATCACACACCTGCCATCCCAAGTCTTGGAAGCTAACATAAAGTTCATGCTTTCTGCAAGCTGTTTTTAAGTCACTGCTGTTGTAATCTGTTAAAAGAAAAAAAAAAAACGGTCAGGAATTTAATGAAAGAGGCAGTACGTCGCTGCAGGGCATACGCGGAGGGTTAAGCGGTGAGCAACTGTGAGCGCCTGCAGCAGCTCCAAGAAGAACCATGTTGAGGGATGTAGGAAGTTGGGCTGACTTGAAGACGCCAGCAGGAAGGGAGGCAGCCAGGCAACATCAACGGGGTTGTAATTCCTTCAGTGTCCCTGGTCAGCCTGATGAGCAGGACTCATAAAACACCCCTAGGAAAACCATTTCTTAAAAACAAATGCCTCTTCCTTCAGCCCGGCATACATGGTGTCCCCATATGTTCCAATTTGCCCCTGCTTTGTCCTGCGGCAGTTTCCAAGGGGATGTGATCAAAACACACACAGTAACTGCATGAATTATAACCCCAGGTGCATTAAGTATCCTCTTGTGTCTCCTGTGTTGGTTAGCCAAGGGAGAGAGGTCCCTCAGGAGGTATGTCCAACAGCCAGCCAAGCTGTTGCTCCTGTCCCTCTCAGCCCAACGCTGGCCACCAGGCATAGTCCCTTCGCCATGCCTTAGGAGACAAGTGGCTCCATCCCATGCTGTAACTTCATTATCGGCAGTGTTTCACCTCAAAAACGGCAAGGAAGGGTTGCACTTGACATTAGCTTGCCCACGGTGTACAGAAGAGCATGTGCCCACACCTCCAATGAGAGATCACCTCTCCCCTGGTCATGGCCCAGCTCGGCTGATGTCTCACCAGTGCAGAGGCTGCTCAGATGTTCCTCCAAAATGGCGCTT